AGCAGTTTCTGTGCTCACCTCTGCCTGATTTTTTTCTGTCCTCCACTACCCCATTATGCAGCTGGTCCTGCAAATAATTTCTGCATTTTCTGTTGGTGCTACTTCTGCCTCTTTCAGAGATGCAGAGGGGCCACAGCAAGCTAAAAAAAAATCCAAATGTCAAGCTGGATAAGATTTTTCCTCCTTATGCACTGTCAATAATGAAAGCTCAACAGAGCTCAAGCCTGCTCTTGTCAGAAGCCTTCACACAGAATTGTAGAAACCTACAAGTAAGACCGGTGCTTTCAGTAAAGGGGCAGAACTTCTACATATTTCCTAGGAAAAACAAGAGGACTCTATATCAGCTTAGAAAATATACAAATCCTGTAAAAATACATATTTGTGATGGTCACAAGCAATGTTTTTAGCTTGGAGCATGCAGCGCTTACTGTACAACAGGATTTGAGGATTTAGTAGTAAAGATCTGGAATACCATGGCAGATGCCTTGCATTAGAGGACACTTAAATGCATGGCAGAATAGAAAACACTTTCTGTTTTATCACATTTTTATGTTCCTTTGAAACTTATGAAACTCCTCACAAACTCAAATGCTGCAATATGGGAATGGTTATATTTGCTTTTACATGGGCAGTTAAGGGAACATAAGGGAAAATTTAAAAACAATTAAGTTACATTAATAGATATTGAACATTTCTTCCTTATTTATGCTAATGGATAGCTAAGCTTCTGACCTTTTTTTTTAAAGGTTACATCATGCAAGATGGGGTTATCAAGAGAATTAATAAAATATTTTAGCTTATTTTTCTTTCAAGATCATGATGATGGAGTGCTCTCTGGTAAGTTTTACAAGGTGCTTAACTTAGCCCTCCCTTGGATTTTTTTTGTTGGCTGCAGTGGCTGAACCTGGAGTCTGAACAGAGCTTGCATGAGCCTGCTCAAGCTGAAAGACCCATCTTGTCTGATTAAATCCCCTCAAGCCCTCTCCTCACATGGCTTGGAAAGAGCAATAGTGGGGAATGAAGTACGGCAATAGATAGTGTGGTGCAGGGGTGAGACTCTCGCATGTGACTATCATGTCCCTATCAGTTTACAAGACATGTAGCAACTTTACCACGTGGGAACCTTTAATCAGTTGGCACACCTACATAAAACAGTTCTTAATTTACAGATCACATGCTGAGTTTAACAATGGGACAGAAAACTCTTTTGTTATATTTATAAACAATATCTGTGGCTTACTTTCCTTTATATCATGACATGTTTCCTTTCTTAACTGATTGAAACTTAAGTTTAACCATGATGGTACTGAGCAAGCTGTAAATCAGGGCTGCGGTCATAAAATGTGAAGGGGCTTTTATGTCTTCATTGATCAGCTGATGTCCTGTTTGCCATGTGGCCTGGGACTGGGATAGGCTCAGGCCACATCAGGGAAGTGAACACAGTCTTTACTGTCGACTGGAGTGAAGCTAGGCATTGCAGCTTCTCTGTGAGGCCTTGACAAGTTGTTTAGCTCTTTTCAGTGTTCTCTTTGGCATAAAGATGTTAATGCTCTTCTGAACATTTTCAAGATGAAGGTCCAGTAAACTTGGGCTTACTCAGTGGGGTAGGACCTTACTGTCTGTGCCTATTTTATTTATTGTTCCTCTGCCCCCTTCTCTCTAGTACACAGAATTCCTGGCCATTACTATGTCTCAAATGTATCTGGATGTAACACATCTTATATACTTCTTTACTGCAGTTGCAGATGGGTTTCTGCCTTGTATTGTGACGTAATCAGATACACGGTAGAATAGAAAAATTTTTCAATTGATTACATTTCTATGCATCTTTGATATTCCTCACACATACATCAAGTCTAAATGTAACCCACAGTCCACTGCCAAAAAATGATGAGATACTCACATGTTTAAAGTCGTATGCTTAAGTGTTCCGCTCAATTGTGATATTGGCTTAGAAATAAATGTTTACAAGTTTGAGCCTTTAGACATATAATTTTTAAAAAGTGTGCAGGAAAGTAGTGATCTCTGAAGAGTGTGCTTTTCTTGCTGTACATTAGTTACAGTGCTCTTGTTTAGTGTTCCGTTCAAGAAAAGCACCAGTGCTGAAAGCTTGCGTCCACGAGTCCTGCAAATGCAGAAACATCTATATTGCTTAGCTGTGTTTTGAGAGAAGGATATTCTATAAGAGCATACCATAAGGAAATAGAGATATTCTGTAATAGAGCTATGTTAGTTTAGACTTGGAGTGAGAAAGACAACTAACCTGTCACCTTACTTTACCCCAGAATTTATATTTAAGTTCTTTTTCATCTCCAAAAGCACATTGCTAACCAGCACTAACTGATACATGAAAGTAGCTAGGCTATTTCACTAGCTTTTACTAAATGTGTCTGTGTTTTTTCTCCTTTTCCCAGTGGTGAAAAAAGTGGCAGACTTTGAACTTCCTTATGTGAGTCTCCAGAGCATGAAAGAGTTGCACTGTAAGCTTGGGATCAGAAAGTGGTGAGCAAGTAGCTTAAGAGAAACCACCAGGATACATGACAACTGCTATAAACAGAGAAAGAAATCCCTCTAACTTGGTTACCGAGTCTTCAAGCCTCAGCTGCTTGACTGTTTTTCTCTGAGGACAATTTGTTATTGGAATTGACTGGTTTCCGTGGCCCTGTGTGTTTAAAATTGTATCACTGTAGTATTCCTGAAGTGTCCCTTACTGTCCCTTAAAGCTAGCTGTTTATTTCTTCTGTCTTTCCGAATCTATAGAGAGGCGCTTCATGGCGGCTTCCCTCTTAACTTGTATATCTGCATAATGCAGTGACCACAAATGGCCATATACCTGTAAATAATATGGAAGAGAACATTGAGTTCTCAGTTGGAAGCTGCAACTCTGGGCAGAGATGGATTACCTTTTATCTAAAGTGCTCATTTCTATATCCTAATACACAAAATACCTGAGGCCATAGCTTTAGCATTTATTTTGGTAAGTGGCCCGGCTTAAGCAGCAGAGCACTCTTCCCCTTTCATTTGCTCACACCTCAGGCTCCTCCTTATGCTGGTAGAACTGTGTGGGCAGACATGGTGAACTGGACTGGCAAGCTAGTCTGGCCTAAAAACAAGCTGCTGACCTTTTTTTTTTTTTTTTTACTTGGTTTTGCTGGCCTATTTTTGGCCTCGGTCAGTCCCCCAGTCTTGTTTGCTGTGCAGCAAACAGTTGGGCTGACTTGTGGGTAAGGATAAACCCTGGGGACAGGGAGTCTGGTGCCAAAGTTCTGCTTGTCAGACTGCCCCAAGGGTGCAGTTAGGCCCTATAGCCAAGCCAGTCTAATGGCTTTCTGCTGTGGTTGTGGTCTGGTCTACTTCTCTCTACAACAAAAAAGAAGAAAGGGAATAGATTTATGTATGCTTAGTGAGTTGCCTTAGCTGCATCAGATGATTGCTAGAGCAAGAACTGTGGTTGGGAGCAGAAGAGGAAGAACAGACCATGCCTTTTGGTGGCAGCAAACAAGGTTGCTTGGCTTGAAGCTACACAGAAACATATTGTTTGATGCTTGTAACTTGTCTGGTTTAAATCTACTGGACTAGACCTTGGCCTCTACAAAGCTTTCTCTACTATTTCCCTATATGTGCCTTTATAAACTGGAGAACCTAGAAGCCTAATGAAAACACTGCATGGTACTAAACCATGACAAAGTGACTGTCTGAGTAGATGCTTCTCCATCTAGCACTGCTTCAAAGCGCAGAGGTAGGAAATGGCAGTCCTTGGGTTGTTCCTGTGCTGCAAGAGGCATATCACCTGTGTAATGTGAGCGATACAGCCGTACCAGCTATGGAGCCTGTGCTGCTCTGAACTGTTACGTAGACTTACCCAAGCTGTTTTTAAAATGCCTTAAGGTAGTTGTTGCAGCACAGCACTTGGATTAATGTTTAACTTGCTTTGCTGCTGTACTGATCTGATCTTGCAGCAATTCTACAGTAGTTGGTACTGCAGCTAGCTAGCTTAAGGCTAGGTCTTGTATGTCAGCACTGCAGCATGGCAGTGGATGCTCTGAGACCCTTACCAACTTTTATGTAGACAATCCCCAAGTTGTTTGAAAAAAGGAGGAGGAAAGTTTTAGTTTTAAATTGTAACTGTTATGTTTGGTACCACCAAAATCAAAGTGGAGAGATTAATAACCTGACTTTAGTTTATTTCCATTCTGCTACAACGTATAAAGAATGAGTATAGTACATATTTCAAGGGCACAACTGTTGTTTGGTTGAGGTTTTTTGTTGTGGTGGTTGTTTTTTTTTAATATGGCAAGTAATGGTATCTTTCTGGGTTATGTTCCCATCGTATTTAGCTGGGGAAAAAAAAAAACAAAACCAAACACCACCGTATTTAGAAGCATATCTTCATATTTTATTACTTTTTTTCCCCCCTTTGTCATGGAAAAGGTATATGGATCCTTCTCTTGATATACTGCTGATGGATTGTAGAATTTCACTGAATTTGCTATATATGCAGGTAAAACCAAAAGGTCTTTAGAATTTTAAAAGCTAACTTTCTCACATTAAATTTTTTATATAAATTCTTGAAATATTTGTAAATGATTGCTGTTTAACACTGCTTTGTTGAGCTTTTCTAAATGCTGGGTATAGCTGTTGCTGATCACAGTTTTTTCTTTTTCTTTTTCCTCATCCCCCCCAAATTCTAACTCATCTATGTTTTGTGCATGAAAAAAGTATTGCACAAAAAGGACATATTTTTGTGTCTGTCCACTCTATTTTCAAGTGTACGTATATATCTGTATGTGCCTATATGTAGGCACTATGCTATGATATGACAGCATTTGAATTCTGAACTGTAGGTGTATTTCCTTCTTTCAGGAGGAAAGAACAGTGTAGAGTTAACTTGTCCTTAAATCAAAGGCCTTGTTTAAAAAAAAAAAAGCTTTCTGTGTGTGTTTCTGAGTGTTTGTGTGTGAAAGGAAATACATTTTTGCTGACTTTTTTGCTATTTTTAACAATTCTTTTAAGGCAATCCAGGAAGTTAAGAGGAATTGGGTTAAACCAACAGAAGGGCAGATGCAAGAACTGAAACTTCTACAAAAAAATGCAAACAAAGCAAAGGTAAAATGGTATTTTACAAATTATATAAACAGATCAAAGGAGTGGTTTTTGAAGCAATGATATTAGTATCATAGAATGGTTTGGGTTGGAAGGGACCTTAAAGATCCCCTAGTCCCAACCCCCCTGCCATGGGCAGGGACACCCTCCACTACACCAGGTTGCCCAAAGCCCCATCCAACCTGGCCTTGAACACTTCCAGGGAGGGGGCATCCACAGCCTCTCTGGGCAACCTGTGCCAGTGCCTCACCACCCTCACAGGGAAGAATTTCTTCCTAATATCTTTAAAATCTGGTATGGTTTTGTGGAGTGGCTTAAGCTAGAGACCCAGGTTTCCCATCTCCCGGTCAGATACTGAGCCACCAAATAGAAAAGGAAGTTCCCATCTCTCTTAATATTTTAAAATATCCCAACAGAATGATTTGGATTCCACAGACTAGCAAGAAGGTTTTAACTGTGAATCCTAGCCTTCTCTATTTGCTAAACTCAGGTGCAAAGGTTTGTCATCCAGTTTAGGAAATCAGATGGAAATTCAGGCTGTTGTGACTGCCATTCTCAGTATTTCTTTCTGGTTAGTTTTATCTCTTCCCATCATCATATCTGATAAGCATCCACAAGACCCAGCTCATCATATCCAATGAAAAAAATTAATCAAATTTCTAAGTCTGGACTGTGAGTGCTATTCTTTGAATCAAGCATTGACATATTGTGGTGAATGTGTGTCCTCCCAGGAGAAAGAGTATTCGGAAACTGAAAAATTTGCTTTATAGCCCTTCCCTCCCCCCCAAAAAAAATCACTAGATTTCACTTGCCCTTACAGCTAATCGCTTTAGTTCTGTCCTTTTGGTGCAGTTTCTGGAGCTGATTCGAGAAATGCAGTTCTATGGATACATACGACTTGATCCTTGCATTTGTGACTATCCGGAAGAAGGCTGCTCAGCTGACATCTATGTAGGCAATAATGAGATTATCTGCTCCATAAAACTGCCTACTAACCTAACCAAAGAAGTCAGCTTTAAAATCAACAGGTTAAGAAGTTGGCAGGTTACTTTTCTTGTAAGTACTTCACTGACTTTGTATCTGAATTCACTTTCTCTTCATGAAAACTAATGGCTGCTAGGGAAGGGCAGGTCTCAGGGGAAGGAGGTGGTCTGTTTTAAATCCCTCTCATCTGCCCATATTCCCCTCCAAACTTATCCTGAAACATATTCCCTTGGCACCTTTACAGCAGTAAACCATCTAGCCTTACTCTATTTTGTCCCTTCCCTGGTATTCCATGTCATATTTTACCTGCCCCTTTCCTTTCCTGTTGGCGGTAGAATTGGCAGGGAGTTTTGTGTGGGAGCAAAAGAACTGCTTCAGCCAGCTTTATGCTTGTAAAGACTCCTCCGTCCTACCTCCCACTTGCTCCCTCTCCCAGGACAAGTGTTCTGGTACAGATTTTCAGCTGTTTTATCTGTATACTGTATAAAACAAACCTGATTGACTAATTCTGATTTAAGGCTGAACAACTTAATGCTGTTTTTAGCTGTTTCTTTTGTTCGTTAGTTTTTTTGTTGGTTTGTTTTTTTCCAGGCTGCTACAAAGGATGAAGATGACACTCTGGAGCTCAGATTTGAGTACAATGATTCGGGCACATGGCAGTGGATAATTTTGTACACAAAACAGGTTAGTTCTCAGTCCTTTTAGGAAAGGATCAGAGTAAAATATAATCTTCGAGCCACAGGGGATCTTCAAAAGCAGAAAGTCCATCTCTACCAGAGTGCAGCGATATGCTTTCAAGCAGGCTGCCCTAGGGACAGAGTTATCTGGGGAAAAGCAGAATTTATAGCATAAGGGGAAGAGATTTTTTTTTTCATTGAAGAGAAATGTGCAGCACTCAGCAGCAAGCCTGTTCAATAAGTATCTAAAGTCATTAATTGGTCAGACCCACCTAAGGTCAAGGGCTCCCATCTTCCACAATAAATCCTACTGTTCAACTACAAATATGAGCCTTGTTAACACAGGTTAATGGAGGGTGTAAATATATGACATCATATATATGTCATCATATATAAATAATTCTTAAATAAGATTTTATAGGGTGCCATTCCTCCCACTATTTTCAGGCAGCTCTTTAAAGAGAAAGGGATCCAGGAATTCAAGTCATCCATCTGTGGTTATGCTGCCTAGCAAATAATCTAGGCTCTGCAGTATCAAAGACAGCACCAGTCTCAGTTTAGGTACGGAGCTTCTATAAAAAGTACAGAGCCTGTTATTCAAGTAAACCGCTTCTCTTGTCTCTCGGACTCACTCAGCAGCAGACAGGATTTTTCAAATAAAATCAAAATACTTAAATTCTCACACATGACTTCTGAATTCTGGGAAGTTCACACAGCTATTTAGTAAGTGTTAATTTTGTGCCATGCATAAGGTTTATGAGAACATGAGCCATAAGCAGTAAGCTTTCTACTTTCTTTGCTGTTGGAGATAAAAAAAAAATCTAGAATTACCACAGTATTAATTCTCCTGTGAAATCTAAGGTTGTGCTTGATGTAGTGACTTGTTGATTAGAAACCCTGTGTCCCACTTTCTTCAGAAGTGTGAGGAAGAGCTAAAGGCCAGAAATGTGCTACTGCGTGGAAGAAACAAGGGTTTCATTCAAGAGCCCACTGCAGAAAATGGAAAGACTGGATGATTTGGAGCTTAGTCAGAGAGCTCCCCACTCCATCACTGATCTTGTAGGATATTTTGTCTTTGATTCACCTCAGTCCTTGATGCTCTACCTGAGATGCTTCCTTTTGGAGAGTAAGCAGTGAGCTGCATCTCCAGGGTGCAGTTCGGGCCTTAACTTGGGCTGCATCATCCCAAGGAGTTGTACATGCTCATCAGACAACATGAGGAACTAAGAACAACTCTGCTCCTCTCTGAGGTCCCTCTCTAGATACCCAATATGGGGGATGAGCGCAAACTGCTTCGCTCATACTAGCTGTGCCAGATGTTACTCTGAGCTGGTCTACACACAGTTGCAGTCATCTTGTGTAACCACCTGGGCTTTGCTTTTCAGCAGTCCTGAGAACTCCACCTTGAGACACTTGTTGAAGTGGTTTTGATGCTGATTGATAGTGCCACATTTCCCTAACCTTAGTTAACCTTTGGTGTAACCTGGCAGCCTTTAAGGTAGAAGCTACAGACAACTAGAGAGAATAACTTGTCTCACAAAACCAGTCATAAAAATTCTTGTTCTCCACTCTGAGCAGTACCGTGAAGGTTAGTCATGCTGAGGCTGGGCTTTAAGCAACTGCAGCTAGTTTGGTGCGCTGTATGGATCTTAAGTACAGAGTAAAATTAACTCAATTAAGGAAGTAATAGTTCAGTAGTTGGGGTTTGTAATTTTCTGGTGGAGGAGGAATGGAAGGGTCAAGTACATCTTTTGATAGAAGAAATCAAATGTTCTCTGCTCTATCCTCTTTAGGCCTTTTTGCTCAGTAGCTGCTTGAAGAAAATGATATCTGAACAGATGATGAAGGCAGCCAAAGAAGGCCAAGAGATGGTGAGCACATGTGTTTGTTGGTATCTGAATTTGCATTTAAAAGAAATAAGCCTGCTACTCTATCATTCTTGCAAATGTGCTGAGAGAAGTCCCTTTGAGGAAAAGGATCTTGCATGTTCCAACATTTCAGTACAGAATTAATTGACTAAAAAGTACATCTTTGCTTAGTTTCACTGAAATAATATTCTGAATGTTGAAAATGGTTTATAAGTATGGTTTTAATAATCTGGTTTGCATTCTCTCTCCTTGACTTAAATTTTTGCTGCATATTATAAAGATATCTATGGCATAATTTTTGAATATTCTGCGCTACTCTGTTGTATCCATTTCTGGCTTTCACTTTTTCACCACTTCACTTGCTTGCTCCATCTGCTGCAATGTTAGGCCAATTTGAGATCTGTGACATTCACACTGAGAATTTTTTTTGTTTTAAATAGAAGTGTTAATAAAATAAAAATCTTGATTTGTAGCTAAAATACTTCTGCTACATTTTGTGTAGACCTTTAAGGGTAAAAATATGTTTAGATACTTGTTATTTTTAAAAATAATTCCCAGCATTAATAATGCCTTTATTCAAACTTGTGATATCTGAAGACTTTGAGTGTCTGCTAACTGAAAACTTCTGAAGAGGAAAAAAAAGGAAAGGAACATGTGTGATCTTCTAGACCCATGCTGATTACAGTGAGCAATGAACAGCATGTTATTTCATAGCTTTAAACTACAAGCAATTCAGAAAAAAAGACCAATTTTAATTTTGGAAAATACTTGATCTTTTTCATTATAAGTTTATTTGTAATGGAAGTACAGTAAACATTTAATTATGAAGATGAGCATTCATTACTTAACTGTTCAGCTGTTGATAGTACTTAGGTAGCTTGGACTAAAACAGGATTATGAGAGAAGGGTAAATATGCCAGTTCATTTCCTACAGTGTTTCTACTGGGTTTAACTGAATGCTGATTTGCTCAGTGTATTTTGTTAGGACTTGGGGGAGCATTTAAGCTTATTGTAAGTTTTAAATTTTTCAATCTGTTTAGGAGATCAAGATGCCTGAATCCACAAAAAATAGTAAGAAATCCATCATCCAACAAAAGCAGGTTAGTGAGTGAGAGTCTCCAAACTGTAAATACAGCATGTCTTGCTTGCTAGCGGTGTTTAGCCCAACCTCTGTTTTTCTGGTTAGGGAGACTCCTAATAAATTTAATGGGAACTTCTTTTGGTAGGAAAAGGAGCTAAACTTGAATTTTTGGAAGGAAGAAGAGGGCAAGAAATATGTCTGAATAAAAATTTTATTTTACTTTGATGGGTTTAATGACATCACTAACTGTTCTTTGATAAGCAAATTGATTCACCTGTGTGGTGGGTTTTCTTGCCCCTTTCTTTGAAGTGCTCTGTACATCTCACTGCTGGAGACAAGATTCTAGGCGAGGTGTGGCCTTCAGTATTCACAAACAACTTGCAAATGACAATAAGGGAGATAACACTTTCTGTACAGACTTGCATCTGTGATGAAGAGACTGAAGGATGCAGTTCAGTGGTGTCACTCTGGTACAACTTTAGCAAGGACTAAGTTGCATGGCACTGGGCTTGAGGCAGTTGTTCTGACTTGAATGTACTTTAAAATACCTCCTTGATTATGAGCCAGATGGACTGTGAATGCTCCCTCTGATATTTTTTTTTGTGAGGTGAGCAGCCTTGGACAGGGCAACATAAACCCACTGAGCTCATCAGCCGTGTCTTGCCAGTACAGTGTCAGGCTGCTGCTATGAAACTCGGTGAACTAAGAAAATTACAGCTGATAGTTAGAATGGAGTTGTTTTGCTAAAGCAAGTCAAAGTATGCTGTTGTGTTGAACAGTGATAGTATTGCATGCTATACCTCATTTTATACAGCAAGTTTAAGCTGCTTTAGGTCTTCATGCACTGAGCTGTGTTATTAAACAGACAATTAATATAAAATCTTAAACCACGGTTAGCTAACTTCTAAATGTTGTGATTGCAATGTTAAGGTTCTTAAGGTTTCCCTTTCCTATTCCTCTATTTCTCTTTGCAAGACACTTGAAAAATATATTAACAGTGTATCTCTGCACATTCTCATTTGAAAAAGTGTTGTTTGAGCTGGGTCTTTATAATTTTGCCATTAGTATCCCCAAGGGCATTACAAGTCTCTGCTCCAAGTTGGTGGAAAGTTTAACTGACTGCTATCTAAAGACTCTGAAAACTTACACCAAATACTTTCTGCTGACTCATAAGAAGAAAAACAACTTTGGTTTTCTTTGCGATCCTGTAGCAGTATACTGATACTACCAGATCAGGCTAACAGCCTGTAAATTCTTGTTTGACTAGATAATCTAGCACAGCAGTAAGACTTAGTAGGAAAATCAAGAACAATCTTTTGAATTGAGATAAAAATGATTTAACTAGTATGCAATAGTTGGATTTTGCAGATAGTGAGGCTTTGCTGTAGAATGTGCCTGCGTCTAGGCAATTTTACTGCAATGTCTTTTAGAAATCTTGAAAAAAAGAGGTATGAAATAACTTCTGCAGAGATCATTTATGCAAAACTTGGTTCCAGTTTCCTAACGCCTTAATGTTAGTTATTGCAGTGTGGTTGCCATAGCTTTGTGATGAACACTTTTAGAAGGGTTTTTCAGGACAGTTACTTATATATCAAAATAACACTATGCAAGAGGCAGAAGAAAAATGTGCCATAAATTTTCCTAGTACAATAGAAAACTGCAGATACATGCAACGTAAGGGTATAGCTTGCCTGCTTATATCTTAGGTGCTTACAGTTCACCTGCTTTACCTGCTGGGTGATGTGGTGGTGGGAAGGTTCAGACAGTACGTGGAACCCTTTAGGAAATGTAGAGTTGAAAGATATCATTTATGCAGGTGTTCCGGTTAAAGTTAAGAATGTGTGATTAACAGTAGTCAACCTAATTCAGAAGGCCTCGTAGGCAAAGTACCTGCACATATGTCCTTGTGGCCACTATAATGCCAAATAACATTGATGTTAGCACAGTTGGAGCTGTCATTTGATCTGTACCACATTTAGTACATTGCAATACACCTTAAAAGCAGAAACAACTGTTCTTGTGTCCTATTCCAGCGGAAAAAAATAATCTGTTCTCTCTGAAATGCCAACATAGAGGTCAACCACTGCACCTGAATGTCAGATTTTCTAGCTTATGTTTGTTTCTAATTACTGAAATGCATATTCTCTTGTAACTCTTTATTTGTTTCACTGCAGGTAGTTCATTCAGGTTTTATATCAAGAAAAAGATTTTTGGTTAGGCCAAATGAAGACGACTGTGTATTTGAGAAAATAAGAGAAGAGGACCTGTGATAATTTATTTAGAATACTGTCTTTCAAAATGAATTGCCTGGGAACAAAAACCCCATTGCTGAAACCTTG